GAACAATAGCCTATTCTTTAATATTTGAGAAATTCTGCGTGCCGCATGTTGGCTGCAGACCGGTCTGCTAAATTGAAAATAACGGTTTGCTGAACTAGAAGTCACGTATCATAAAATCGTCCCCTTGCTGTCCTAACAAACATGGAGAAAGAAAATGATTTGTTTCTTCGCTAAGAGAAGATGAACCACATCTGACGCAGAAATAAATCGTGGAAAATCATCTATTTGTGAATGTAAGTTCGAAAGTACAATCTTCCCATAACACTTTCCAGTAATACGCTAATAACCATAATCTGCGAGGATTTCCAAGAATGCACACAGCAGCGGCTGGCTGAACAAATTTACATACGGTATAATAGCGACAAATGTGTACTTATTACAGTCCGGGTATAATCCAAGCTGGACGTGTTACAGCAAAAGGGCAGAGAACGTACAGTTGGGTAAATAAAACATGTAGCATGGCTAAACTAAACTTATTAGAAGCGACTGGCGCGGACTACAAGCGAGGAACGGCAACAAGTGGTTAGTAAAGAAGTCTCGAATCGATACCTGCATCACTGTGCACACGTAGACCGGGCATCTTCTGATCCTTTGTCCCTTGCTCTTGCCCAGCGGCGACAGAACGATTAGCCTCAAGAAGAAACGTACGTAGCTGAAGTAACGACTGTCGAGGAACGTCTTCATGTTCGTCAGATGAGAATCGATATACGCTTCTGAGAGGAAAAAAAAAAACAGCGAATAAAGGATGAAAGAGTGACCCTAAGGGTGGATTAGGTTCATTCAGGTCAATTCAACGTGTGGTATGAATTATTTGACGACTTTGCACTTGGGGCTTCTTATCACTTTTTATGTAATTATTATTATTTATTATTTTCTATATTTAACATATTACGTATTGTAATAATAGTGTATTATAGTACATTTTATTTCATATTTATACTGGTTGTTCAAGGTAAAACGACATTGATGTTCACGGTAATTATGGTTACTCACTTTTTATGTTCCAGAAGATGTTCCTTGGTTGAGGTTTAATATGATGGTAGGAATAGATTTTATAGCGTTCAAATGCAATGTGTAAGAGCTGTAATATTCGACTATATACATAAATGGAGATTTGGAATAGTTTGCATTTTTAAAATATTGCTTTTTATGGGAAACATTACTTGGGACCATTGGATGTGCAGGAAATTCAAGTATAGTTGGAATTCTTTTTTTACGTAATTTTTCATCAAGCGGACGATATTATTCAAATTTTTCAATTTTGCAGTGTTAATTAATTTCTATGTTTCGTATTTTATTATTGCTACAATTATAATATTCAAAATATTAATTTCAACGACGTAAGATCCAGTGAAAATTCATTTTGAGGTTGACGGGATTCGGAAAACAGGTCGCCAGCTTGCTAATTGAAGACACTATCACTGAGCCATTAAGACTCCTGGTGTATACTGACCTTATTATCATACTTACACTACCGTCCAAAAGTTTGGAATCACTGAGCATTGCAATTTACACAAAAATTTCCAGAAAAAAGTAGAGCGGCTTTGAGAATTTTTTATCATTCGAATCAATTGATATGAGATAAACTGATAAATGTAGAATTGAGATAAACTTCGAATCTATAAAGAATTAGCAGCAGATCTAATATTGATGAAAAGTGGGAGGTGATTCCAAACTTTTGGCCGGTAGTGTATACACGATCTACGCCGCTCAATTACTTAATGAACCTGTCGAGTACAGAATATTTAACCTTGGAAATTATCATTAACTATTTAACAATTCTACTAATTGGAATAAAATTTCAGACTTCAATTTATGTATGTATGGAAAAGAACAATATCGATGAATTCTAATATACTTGAAACGTCCATTCCAAGATGGAAGACAAATTTTTTTGATGGAATAAATGGGAAAAAATGAAAGGGAACAATTTCTTAGAAACATCCAGTAGAAAAGACTATACACATTCGTGTAAAAAAATATAGATGACCTCGAAAAAACTTTCTGCCACCTTGTTCACCCTTTGGAACCATTTAAATTACCTACAAACATTTTCTCATACCACAATAGCTATAGAAGATAATTAGATAACCTGTTCTTTGCGTGGCCCACCCTGTGTCATACGTCAAACTGTCAATTACCTAATTTCAACACGCTTGTAATTATTAAAAGAAACGTTTCAACTAAAATTGTCAAAGCACATTTACCCAATTGACGATATTTTCGACTCCAATTACCCGGAACAATACGCCACGCAAAAAAAAAAAAAAACAATTCATGTACAGCCCAGAGATATCTCTATAAAAGCGGAAGTGAGTGGAATGCGAAGATTTCAATTGAGCCGTTTTTCACAAACGATCTCACGACTGCTTGCTCTTTTAGGCGATTCGAAATAACGGGGCCAGAGGGTGTTTGGTTATTGTTCAGTCACGCGGAAACTTGAAATCAATCGTGTGTTCGCGGGGATCGCTTTATGTCGGTTATTTTTTCGAGAACAATGGGACAGCGAATGCTCGTAAAGTGCGTAACTCTGCAGCCAGGTTTCACGCTGCTTTTTGTGAATCGAGGGTTCGTAATAATTTGCTGTCACCGCGGACGAGTAACTCTGTTTCCGTTTCGCGTTCCCATTGTTTTCGCGAACCGTTGCCAGTTTGTTTAAGCTTCCACCCCTGTCCCCGCTGTCCTTTGTACCCCATCCTCATTCCCACCCTTTGTGAAATATTCACATGGATTATTTATCAAATAAGTTACGTTGCACTTGTTGCGGTTATCGAACGCTCTCCGATACGTACACCCGGTATAAAGCTTCATTAAAATATTTTCTTCGTCGACGTTACCGATAGTAGATACTGCCTCGGTGATATATCACGAGCTGGATATTTTCGAACAGATTTTGTAGCATCACCGTGAAGCGTTTATGAAATAACCGTTACGGAAGTTTCTTTGGGAATTTTGCATTCTTAGAATTAACAGTAAGTTC